CTTTTAATCCCGGAATTATCCTTTTTGCACGTCTTTGAGTGATATAGGCTGAAGTGACATCTGAACGTATCATCATAACCCGTGAACATTTTTTGCGACATACTGCTACTATACATAATTTTATAATCATTAGTATTAAGGGCAAAACTTACAGGTGAAGCATTGTAATATAATTAATAATAAAAAAATACTATTCTGAACAAATGAACGGTCCTTATTTAATGTGATAAAACTTAGTATGGGTGGAAATATCTATGAATATTGTTAAATCGATTATATACTTATATTATATCGATTATATCCCTTACAAATATCCAATTAGGTTTTCAAAATTCATTTAATTGATTGAATATGAGAAATTACAAAAGGCTCATTTATGATATAACGCTTCAACTATCGGATCATAATTAAGCTTGCCTATTGGACTTACTTGAAGACTGTTTTTTCCATATTTCCCATCAGCATTCATATTGAGATTTCATTACAGTTCCCAGCGCACCAACTGATCTCAACATCGAAGCTCTCAACTCCACATCAGTGCTGGTGACGTGGCAAGCTCCCGAGGAGGAGAACGGCATCATCATCAATTACACGATCCGCTGGAAGCTCGCGGGTAGCGGAAATGAAGCAAACGAAGACCAGATAATTACAACGCCTGGTGACAGCTACGAGTGCGAAGTACCAGGCCTGTTCGAGTGCCAGACCTACGACTTCTTCGTGTCGGCGTCCACCAGCCGTGGCGAGGGAGCGAGAAATACGAAACAGCGAAAACTACGATGCGCTGAAGGTGGGAGTACAGCCTATAATGTGCAGAATCAGTATTGAAAAAGCAACTATTAATCATTAATGCACATCTCTGTGCACCCATCTCGACCACGAAGCCATTCAACAAGTGAGTAGACTGCAGAGGCTGGTAGTACTCTCTTGGGACACTCTTGCTGCGTGCCTTTGTCTTTATGTTCGGCTTGAAGCAGGTCCATTACTGATAACAATACACTATTGATACCAAGCTTTCACCTGTCACTGAAGCTGGCTAAAAGCTGCATTTCCTTGCAGTTGTCAGACTTGTCGATAGAGCAAAGTATAATGATTAAGTTAACAATTCGCAACTGGGTCCGATAAGTTCTTAATTGTCAAATCAATACAATTGAAGGTGAATGATTAGAGTTTTAATTATACCTAATACTTATTTAGGGTTAGACACGGTGAGGTTAATACAGATATTGCAGAGCAAATACAGGTGATGGTAACGACACTATTCCGTTAGATACAATTGCCGGAGCCGTCTCAAGTAAATGCAAATAGAGGCAGGCTGTCCTGTACAGCGCGGGATTTTTTGGTTACTGTCTGTTCAGCGCCTGAGGTAGGGAATGCTTGAGGAGCTTGAATAGACGTACAGCAATGACTTTACAGAAGGTGACGCATTAACCGCTACAGCAAGTCTGGGAGGTGACGGTAGACAACCTGACATAGTTGCCCGATGAATTTGAATGATTTTAGAATTCAATTTATTTGAAAAATATTGGCATTTGTATGGTATGATAACTTTGGGTGATGTTTAATTTGTTTGCATTTGTTCACCATTTAGGGAATCTAATGTAGTGAATATTTTCTCGCGGCCTCCTGAAGCTCCCAGCGCACCTCAAAACTTGACATTGTTGGCGGCCCGGAGTGACGCTCTTGTCGTTCAGTGGGACGCGCCTGCGACACTAAACGGCGTCGTGGGTTATTACTCAGTCAAAATCAGCCGCGGCACCGACGTGGTCACCAACAAAAATATTACAGCTTCGGATTATCAAACTCGCTTCGATTGTACCGTGGACGGCCTCAGTGCAAGCACAGTGTACAACATTAGTGTACGGGTGAGTCCAATGGCTCTAATTACATGATTACCCTGTTTAGTGTTGACCTGATGTAACTGACAACCCTTGTGACAATCTCGAACTACCATAACATAACAGTGATGTCAGCGCTGAAATATAAGCCTGATGTGGCCTGCTGCCGATTCTTGTACTTTTCGTGACTTGTTCACAGAAGATCTAAAATCGTGTCATTTGACCGGATATTTTCAGGACTGACGATCAATAGTTTGAAATAGCTACTAGACTTCCACCGGGATCAATATGGTGCTACGTATTTCAAGTCTTAACATATATTTTTCGATAGCTTTATCTAGTCTGTTCTTGAACGCGTTCATACTCTGAACGCAAACGATGTAATCGGGGAGGCTGTTCCACATGTCAGTGATTCGAAGCGAGAAGAAATGTTGTCGCGTGGATAAGTTGCAGCGCAGTTTTTTAGTTTATAGCCGTGGCCCCTGGTATTGGTTCTTGTTTCAAATTCTAGTAATCCTTCGGGATCTTGTATAAACCATGAGGATACTTGTATACTTCAATTAGGTCCCCACGGAGACGTCGATAACTGAGGCTTGGACGCTTCATAATCTTTAATTTTTCTTCATAGGACTTGCCCTTCAAGCCTGGAATCATCCTTGTTTCACGTCTTTGAACATTCTCCTTTAAACTTTTGTCTTTTTCGAATCTCAATGACCACACAACGCTTCCAAACTATAGATTCGGGCGCACGACAGCAACTAACAACTGCTTCATCACTTTTGCATCTAGGAACTCGTAAGAGCGTCTGATCAGACCAAGAAGTTTGTTGGATGTATTAGCTTGCGTTTCAACATGCTTAGAAAATTTCAGCTCCTTTTCGACATAAACTCCGAGATCTTTTTCCACACTAGACTTTTCAATCATTACTCTCTCGTTGCAACCCTGCCTTCTCATACTGTAATCTTGGTGTTCATTGTTCTTCCCGAGGTGAAGTAATTTACACTTGTCAGCATTAAACTGCAGCTGCCACGTATCAGCCCACTTGACAAAGCTGTTAAGCTCATCTTGCGATTGCGCTTTATTTGACGCATCCTTCACTGTATTATAAACTTTTGTGTCGTCGGCATACATGGAGCACACGCTGGACACTACTTCTGGCAGATCGTTTATAAAAGCAACGAACAAAATAGGCCCAAGAACACTTCCTTGTGGCACGCCACTGCGCACGCACTGATGCCCAGCCTGACACGGTTCCGTTAATACTGACACGTTGTCGTCTACCTACTCGAAAATTTCTGATCCATTGGAGTACGTTTCCCTCAATTCTCAAAGACTTCACTTTAAGCAACAGTCGCTCATGCGGAACACTGTCAAATGCTTTGGCAAAATCCAGGTACAATGCATCCACTGGCTCCCTTTCGTCCAGCAGGCGAGTCCAAGAACTGTTTGAGAGCGTTAGCCTTGTCCTCATCAGAGGAAATCTTCCGTTGGTCTACTATCAAATTAGATATACCGTCGTTTGTCTTACACTTCGAACTATCTTACAAAAAGAAGGCTTTCGGATTCTTTTCTGCATTTTTTGCAATATATTTTTAGAAGTTTTTCACCGCAATGCGACAGACTTTTTTGGCTTGATTTCGAGCTTTTACATACAGGTTATAATCAGCATCGCTGCGAGTTCTTAAATAACGCTTGTAGGCTAAATCCCTTCTTGGTCTTTAGCTGTACTGTTCATCCACTGGGACTTTTTGACTCCTCCAAGCGTAATCTTAGGTGCACAGACATCTACTGCAGACAAAACAGAGTCTTTGAAATATGACAATGAATCAGCCACATTCGTGTCCTTAATAGAGTCCGAAATATTAGCCGCATTCGCTGCTTCATGGAGTTTATCATAATCGCCTTTCGCAACGTTCAAACGTTCACGCTTCCGAAGCGTCATTCCTGCATGGCACTTCATACTGAAAAACAATGGTTGGTGGTGGCTTTTGCCCAACGGAGCCTCGTGGCAAAGCTCATCTAACATTGATTCTTCACTAGTAAACACAATATTTAGAATATTTTGGGTCTGTTTACCCCTAAAATGGGTTGGCTTGGTGATGTTCTGGATTAAAAATGAGTCTCACACAAACTCCAAGCCTCATATTTTTTCGAAGAAAAAATATGAGGCTGTAAGTATTTTGTCGCACACTGCCGCCCTGTAAATTCACGCTGACTTTGACTTCATTTTTATACAATCTATATTGAGAATTATTATGGCATCACACTCAATGCAGGCACAAAATATTGAATTTAAAATAAGTACCTAATGATTTAATTAATATGATTTTTACTTGAGATAGCATGTAGGCTCGCTATATCTGCCTTGAAATGAAGAACCTTGATGTCATCTACAGAAACTTTCATAAACATATGCTTTCAATGAATGGTTCCCACCTACAGGCAGTCACGAAAGAAGAAGGTGAATCTGTGGTGATGCCGTTCAATACTTTACCCGAAAACGAGTCTGGAGGCGTGGCGGGCATCGTCATTGGCTGCCTGGTGGGGGTGGCGCTGGTCGTGGGGCTCGTGGTTGTCATCTACAAACGTGACGACATTCGCAAGAAGTTCCTATCACCGCCGTCCAATTTCTCCCAAACGTATGATCATTTATTACGAAAAAAATCTTCCTAGATGAAATGAGAATAATCCCACGGGAACAGGTCCCACTGCAGTAATAATATTCTTATTATTTAAAAATAGAATAAGGAATCACGTATTATTCTTTAATTAAATTTATATCTTCAGTTTACTGTTTCGTAGATTTATCAAAGAAGTAAACATTTTTCACCGATTTAGAGTCTTCCAAATTGCCTTCATGAGCATGCGCTGTAACATAGTCTAAGATGAAGGGTTAGGATTCTTTTAATCAAATTTTTATTAATTTAAGTGTTTTTTTCTCACAGCCCGACTGGAAACGATGATGTTCGAACAGAACTACTGGACACAGTTCGACAGGTAGGAATGCATCTGCCTCACTGTGGAGATATAAGAGGCAATGCTGCTCATTGACATAACAAAAATCAAAGAATCGCACTTATAGTTTCTGTCCCTAGGCATACTACCAAGACATGTAATGGATAACTTACTCCTCTTGGAGTAACAGTCCTTAAACATTCCTCTTGACGGGAATGTTTTAACTACAGATATAGCCTATTCGGTCTTTAATAATTTAATTTACTTTCGTTGTCTCCGAAATTAATTTGTTATCAGTTAAGAGCAGGAAGAATGGTGGGTGACACGCTCACATTGCAAGCGAATCAATCAACTAAAATTGAAGTGTTATTGACGGGTATACTGGATTGATTTGAAGTTTGAATTACCATATTAACTACGCAAAGAAGTGAATGGTAGTAATAGAGAGAGCGGGACTATCATCACAGTTTGCATCAGCATCTTAAGGCTGGTAGTCAGAATGCAGCGAAGTCTGAGAGCGAGTTTTTCGCGACCATCGTGTGAAATCCTTGAGCTGCCCGTAGCTCGGGCAGTCGCTATCTTTGAGCTTGTACTCTTTGTAGAATGATATCCTAGCCAGGCCCTTTTTCGCGAGCAACTGGTCGCTTTCAGGTGGCCGAGGAATGGACAGCGGTCGGCTATAACTAATCGGACTAGGCCGACCACTGGCCACGTATTATTCCTCGCCCCTCATTGAGTTCGCCTTCACCATGCCGCCCGTCGTGAACTGACAGTTCAGTAATTTACGAAGTCTCTTTCCCCTTCCCCTCATACCTTCCACTTGCAACTTCTGTATTTGAGCAGTTAGTATACGGGATTTTCCCTCCGCGTATCATCAGGCTCTATCATAACTATTTTTTGATAGATAATATCTACAACAAGGAGGCTGATCAAGGAATGCCGAGTTTACCATTCAATGGAGGCAAATCGATAAGGGAGTCAATATAATGAGTCAATCGATAATGGAGGCAAATCGATAAGGAGCAAATCGATAATCGATCATTTACGACATTGACTGTTG